CAATTTCAACAACCTCATTTCCCTCGACAACCTCATTTCCCTCAACAACCTCAACAACCCCAACCCCAACAATTTGTCACTCAACTTATACTGGTTTAACAATGCCAAATAGATCTAATAGTAGTATCCCCCAATCTATTGGAACGTTGCAGTCTCCACCCCCTGTCTATAATGCTCTCCAACAAAAAGACTATATTAAAATATTTTTAACTTTTTCATTGGCGGATTTTCCTCAAAATATCCATCTAAGCCTATTTATTGACCCAATAGTTTATTTTGATGATGGTCAAAACTCTGTTATATACCCACCAATTAGTAAGTATCTATTAAAAATATAAGGAAAAAAAAGAAAAAAAAAAAAAGAAATATTAATTGTAAAAAAATTTTAATTAATTGTAAATACTTTTAATTTTAGAAGAAACAATCCACATAATAAAAAAAGATACAAAGATATCAAAGTTTCCAAGGAACCCCGATCCCTCAAAAAGCACATCATATTGGAAGCAAAATGGTGAGCCTGTTATCGCATATTTTAGAGTAAAAAAACCAAATCAAAGCAACTATCAATACTATTGCATAAAAAAAAAATATTTAACATTTACTGAACCTAAGCAACATCAATCAAGAGATAGACATGCCAATGGTGGGGTTTCCAATAACTCAATGGTAAGCAATATACAATCTGATTGTAAAAATTCCCCATCAAATAAATGTAATAACGCAAACCTCTCATCTGAAAACCATCCTTATAAAAGCGATAATAACTACCCAACGGCGAAACTGGCTATAAAAAAGGAAAGCAATCAAGATTTATATACTGGAACACATAAATATTGTCACGAAATGGAGTTTGAAGTTGAAGAGTCTCCCAAAGAAGATGATACAACTATTGAAATGTTCAAAAAACCAGTAGAAAAAATAAACTTTGATTGTGTCATTAAACAAATATCAGATTTTACCGAAAATATCATAAGTATACAAGATTTAGAAGAGCAATTGAAATCCTATCAAATAGAGTACATTAAACCTGTTCATACCAAACATAATCCTGTTAAAACTAGGTCATTTGTTGTAAGACATTATATCAAAGAATCTGAAAAAAGAAAAAAAACTGATTCAAAATCAAAATTTAATCAAAACCAAAATACTAATCATAGTCATAAGTATAATAGTAATATTAATAATAACTATAATAGTAATAGTAACAATAATATTAATAATAATAATTATTATAACAATAATAATAATAATAATAGCAATAACTATAATACAAATTACAGCAATAATAATTTTACCAATAATAGCTCTATTAATTATAATACTATTAATAATAATGTAACATTTAATAATAATCAAAATGTCTTTGATCCCTTCTTTGGGCAGCCAAGCATCAAACAAGAAGACTCAAACCGAAACTATATGCATAACTTTCATAATAACAACTTTCAAGCAAATTTGTTCGAATATACAAGCAATAATAAAAATGTTAATATATATAGCTATAGTGGCAATAAATTGTTATTACAATAATACCAATGATAATAATAACAAAAATAATAATAACAACTACAATGGTAACTACAATAACAACAATATTAATAATAGTAGTAATAGTAATACATCTTTATATCAATCTAATAATCAATCACTCGGTCTATCAGCCCTTGATCCACCAGAAATTTTTTATTCAGATAACAGCGTAAGTGGGGCAGATAATAAAAAATCAAACCTTTATAACCCATATAAAAAACAACCAAATTCAATAACTCCTCTTAAAATCTATAACAATGCAACCATTGTTCAAGAAAACCCTCAAAACCTCCATAACTTTCAATATTCACCTTTTTCAAATGAATTTTTTCCCCATGGATTATCTTTTGGTTTTCATCCTAATAATTTAAATAATGAAAATCACAACAGCTCTTACACTCAAAACAACACAAATATTCAAGACAACAATATAAATAATCAAAACAACAACTTAAACAACAACTTAAACAACAACTTAAACAACAACTTAAACAACAATTTAAATAACAACTAAACTCCCATAATTTCATATTATAAAAAAAAAATTTTAAATAAAATATATTTTTTAATTTAATAAATTATTTTTTTTGAATTTCTATATTAAATAAAAAAAAAAACCACATGTTACCAAATAAAGTAAAAAAAAAAAGTAATGGAATGAAATTTTCAAGCTCCAATAAAAAAAATAATTAAAAAAAAATAATTCGAAATCTCACCCCAAAATAAATAAAAAATTAAAAATTAAAAAAAAACCAGTGAAAATCAAAAACACTTTATTAAAGTGGGATAAAATAAGGGTCAAATAATCTTAAAAACCCAAATAAAAAATGATGGTTCAATTATAAAATAATAATAATTAATAAATGAAAAAAAAAAAAAAGGGCTGGTTTTAAATAAATAATTAAATTAATGATTAAGGTAAATTTTTTAATTAAAGAAAAGTAAAAAAAAAAATTATTTATACTGAAAAATTTAGTTTAAACCACAAATTTGTGTAAATAGGTGGAACCTGGTAAAAAATCGATAGTAAAATATAAAAAAATATAAATAAAAAAATTATAAAAAAAAAAAAAAATAGTTTTTTTTTAAAATTTATTTTTATTTTTTTTTAAATTTTTTTTTTTTTTTTTTTTTTAAAATTTAACCTACAACTACTTACCCCGGGGTTTTATAATTTTATATAAATCTATTGGGGGTCATAAAGACAAAAAAAAAACAGTTTAAAATAAAACTTAAATTGGATTTGTCATTACAATAATAGGACAAAATAATATTAATAATAATAATAATAATAATAATAATAATAAATAATAATTATAAAAATAAAATTAACTGTACATCACAAATAATCATATGAAAATTTATTCGAATTTATAAATATAAAATAAAAATAAAACAATACAATATATATTTTTAAAGAATGCTAGAGTTAGAGGAAAGTTCATATTCATTAAATTTAATCTCTGACTATGTTCAAGATGATGATGAAATCGTTCTCACAAAAGAACATAAAGAGGAGCTTGAAAAATCTTTTGGTCACAAAACAATGTAAGAAATAAAAAAATAAAAAAATCAAGATTTCGAAAAAAAAAAAAAAAAAAAAAAAAAAAAAAAAAAATACCCTTTCAGACCTATTTACTAATTTATCTTTTAATTTATTAATTTAGTGGTTTTTTTGGTGGAGTAAGGTAATTTCATCTTTATTATAAATAAATAGTTTTTAAATAAATAAAAAAAAAAAAATAGAAAGATACAATAATCAAATAATGCAATAATCTAATAGGTTTTTTTTTTAAAAAGTTTGTTAATTGGTAATATGACAGGTCCAGCAATGGTTAGCACTTCATTGGTATTTCAACAAGGTGGTTGGATTTTGTAAGTATTTTTGGCTAATAATAATTGTTTAAAAGTTATTAATCATAATTTTTTTTTTTAGATCATTATTGGGTTTTTTAGTTATTTTATTTACCAGTACACTTTCAGGTTTGTTTATGGTAGAGTCGATGGCATCTATCCCAGGAAACCCAAGATTTCAAGTAAGGTTTTATAATAGACATTCAATTTTATTTATTTAATATTAATTTCTTTTATATAATTACTATTAGTTACGTGTTGAATTTACAATGCTTTGCAGATTTTATTTTGGTAAATGGGGTTATATAATAGCACAGATTTTTATTAATGTTGCCTTGCAAGCAACTAATGTAGCATCTATTATTATTTGTGCACAAGTTATGGATTCAACCCTTATTGCAATTTTTAAAAAAACATGTGGTCTCCAAATGGCCCCACACGTAGAGTGGATTTGTGAAACTAGCGTTTCAGCAGACTCATCACCTTTTTCTGGATATATGTTTTTCACAATTGGTTATCTTGTAGTATTGGTTATTATTATTCCATTAGGTTTCTTAAATCTTGATGATAACATTATTGTTCAAATTATTGCAGTCATTTTAATGTTTACTCTTACAACTAGTTGGATCGTTACTTTTTGCATTCACGGTTTAGAAGCTTCAAATCTTCCTACGGTTGGTACTAAGGACGGTATAGCGCAGATTATGGGTAGTGTAATGTTTAACTATGCATATATTACAACTTTACCATCATGGGTAAACGAAAGTGTACGTAATTTTTTTACTATAGATATATTTATTTTATTATAAATATTAAAATTTTTATTTTTTTAATAGAAACCAACAGTTAATATTAGAAAAGCAGTATGGTTATCAGCAGGTGCATCAACATTTGTTTTCGTTATGGTTGGAATTTTCGGTGCATTAGCTTTTGCTAATATGCCAATTACATCCGATATTTTAAGTGTTATCAATCATCACGGTGGTAATATAATCACTAAAATTTCAGTATACGTTTTCCCATTTGTAGTACTTGCAAGTTCAATTCCAGTATTTTCGATTGTTGTTAGATATAATTTAATGCAAAATGGTTTATTACCAAAATGGATCGCTAACGGTATTGCAGTACTCCTTCCATGGCTTATTGTAATTCCATTTTTAACAGGTAATGGCTTAAATCTTATCAGTAATTACTCTAGTATTTTCTTTTCATCGATTGCAAATTTTGTTATTCCATTGTTAATCTACTTAAAGTCACTTCAATTCAGAAGAGGTCACAAAAAGATGACTGAAGAACAAAGACACATTCTTAAAACTTTAATTGCCGAAACTCTAGATTGGGAAGCTAATCAACATCTCTATACTCACACTGGCGAAAATCATAATATGTTCAAAGTATTTACCAAGTTAAAGAGAAATCAATCTAAAAATATTGCCATAGCTTGTTTAGTTATTTTAGGTGTTTTAATTCCATTAGTAATTGCAACTACATTCGCTTTTCCAGGAGCTTAAATAATTAATAATATATATAATAGTATAATATAATAATAATAATAATAATAATAATAGTAATAATAACAGCAATGGTTATTATCATTTTTTTCAATAGTAATTTCAAAAGTAATAATTTTAATTGTAAAACTAAATTGTTATAATAATGATATTATAATATATAAATACAAAAATCAACATTTCCATTCATAAATAAACTTAATTTTTTTTTTTTAAATTGAAAAAAAAAATAGAAAAATAGAAAAAAGGAAAAAAAAGAAATTAGATTATAAATTATAGATAATTAGTTTTATTTAATTAAATAATTTTGTTTATTTTGTTGTGATTTTGATTGATGCGAATAATATGGTTGTTGTTGTTGTTGGTTATAATGGTTAAATGGTTGTTGCTGTTGTTGGTTATATGGATTAAAAGATTGTTTTTGTTGTTGATGATGTTGATATTGTTGTGCTTGGTTAACTAAAATATTATCTATTATATCAAAAGAAGTTGCAAGAGCATCGGTATTTTCATTTAGTTCTTTTTTCATATCTGAAAATTTCTTTGCCAAATGTTTCTCATATTCATTAGATTCTAAAGATACAAGTCTATCAAATTCTCTTCCTTGAGTTGCTAAATTAACACTAAAGTTCATAATTTTATCGTTCATTGCTTTTTTAATTTCTTCGATTTTTCTTACCACTTCTTCCTTTTTTTGTTTGATTAACAATTCAATATTTTCAATTTCTTTGTTGTTTTCTTTTTCTACTGGTTTCTTTGTAAAAGTAATTTTTAATTTCATAGAATCTTTATCAGTTGTAATACTACTAGTTGTTGTTGTTTCCATATTTTCTTCTTTTTTATCTTTTTTATCTTTTTCATCTTTTTCATCTTTTCCATCTTTTTCATCTTTTTCTTCTTTTGATTTATTTTCTTTTTCTGGGCTTTCATCGATTGTAAGTTCACTATCACTTGGTGGGGTTGGTTCCTTATTTTCATTTGAAATAGTGGGAGTTTCATTAGATTTAGATAAGGTATTTGACTTTTCTTTATCATCTTTATGATCGCTTTTTTGTTGTTCATTTAGTTCAGATTGCTTTAATAATAGTTGATTTAGTTGATCAATTTTTTCTTTTAATTGCTTTTCCATTTCGTAAAATTGATTTAATAGTTCATCTTTCATTTTTTTCATTTGTTTTTCTTCTTTTTTTGATCTATCTACAACATCTTCTTTAACTCTAATATCAGTTTCTTTTAGTTCTGTTGAGAGCAATTGATACAATTCTTGAATCTCTTTTTCCTTTTTCATATCTTGTATAATAATTTCGTTACCAATGTTTTTGAAATCTCTTCTAATATACTCTAATTCTGTTTCTTCAGCAATTTTATCTTCAATGACATCGAGTAGTGCAAATCTTAATCCTTGTTCATCGATTGAACTTGGTGATGTTTGTGGTGATGTATTTAAAACATTTGATGGGGATGATGATGGGATTCTATGAATATCTTGATCCGTTGTATTGGAGCTACCACTGCCACTATAGTTATTGATGCTTAAAATATTGCCAACTCCTTTTAGATTGCTATTGCTGCTAAATGGTAATGGTAAATTATATTCATTTAAATCGTCATAATCGGAAATACCATCATTTAACCTTCTATATTTGTCATGCGAAACACCGGATCCGCCAGAGTTGTAGTTTAATTCTGGGACATTACCTTCATCACCCAATTTTCTTTTTTTTATATTACAATTGTTTAAATGTGTATTAAACGCTTCTTTATTCTTAAATAAATATGTTGGAAACTTTTTATCACAGTATTTACAATAATAGTCTTGTTGTATTTTTTGATCACCACTGGTACTATTTAGATCATATAGTAATGAGCTGATACACTCTAAAGAGTTTTGCTGCTGTTGTTTTGAGTTTGTTGTGGTTGTGGTGGTTGTGGTAGTTGTTCCTCTGGATGGGGATTCTTGGGGTGAAGAGTATGAGGGTGGAGGAGATATAAGTTGGGATGAGGGTGATCTTCTCATTGGATTTGGTAGTATATCTTTATATTTCTTTTCCCCACCTGATGTATATCCTCTAATTGATGTTGCTGTTGAGTTTGGGGAGGTGGTTTGATTATTATTGTCATTTAAAAATTTAACAGGAGAGGCCCCTCTATTTGGATTTGGTAGGGAAAAACCGGATCCAATATTTATTCTGCCACTATCGTCAGTATTTTTAGGTTTTTGATCGTATGATCTAATTGAATTTATTAGATCAGCCATTTAATTGATTTCTATAATATTATTTTATTAAATTAATTGAAAGTTAATATTTATAAAATTAAATAAAAAAAAAAAAAATTTAATATTTTATTTATGTATGTGGTAAATAGTTGTTTATTATAATTGTTGATAGTTATTTATTTTTTTTAAAATATAAATAAAAACAATAAATGTTGATTATTTTTTATATTTTATTTATTTTTTATTATCCTTTTTTTTTGATTTTGTGAATTGTTTTTTTTATATTATTTTTTAAATTAATTAAAGTTTTATGCTTTAAATTAATTTATATAATGATTCTTTACAATTTTAAAAAATATATTATTAATTTTATAAAATAAAAAAAAATATTTGATTTAATTCTAATTAATTTTACAAGGAACAAAGCTTTAAAATAGTGTGTAAATATGTATTTATTATTAATAAGTTATGTGATAGTGAATAAAATAATTAAATTATTATAATATAGACTTTTTTTATTTTTTTTTTATTTTTTTTTTTAAATTAATAATTTCAAAAAAATCTGATGATGGAATGAAAAAAAAAAGGATGATAATATTTATTAAAAATATTCATGTTATTGTGTGGGTGCTTGGAATTTTAAAAATTTTAAATAATTTCTTTTTAAAATAAAAGATTTAAAAACAACAAATAGAAATTAATATAAACAATACATATTAAAAGAATTAAAAATAAAAAAAACTCTTACACAAATAGATTATATGATAGCAATGACAAACTATTTAAAATCATTTATTTATTATTTATAATTATTATGATTTGAAAGAATTCTTGTGTTTTTTTTTTTTTTATTTTTTTATTTTTTTTTTTTTATGTGAGAAAATTAAAATAAATTAAAAAAAGATGTACTTTTTAGAATTTCAAAAAGTATGCCATAAAAGTATTAAATAAAAAACAATGGTTATGATATTGATACAATAGAGAAAATAAAAAAAAAATAAAAAAAATAAAATAAAATAAAATTTTTTAAATTTTAAAAAAATATACTTTAAGAGATTTTTTTAATATCCTATCGAAATTCAATAAAATATTAATTGTGTGTTTGTTTTTTTTATTTTTTTTATTTTTTTTATTTTTTTTTTATTTAACAAATAACTATTTTTATTTTTTAATCTTTATAGCTAAATTTGATTTTGGGAAATGATTTAAAATAATAATATTAAATTGTTGTATGATTTTTGAAATTTTTTTTTTTTTTTTAAATTAAACAAACAGAAAAAAACAACAATAAAATCCACAAAACAACAATTTATATAGATTAAGAGAGAGAAGATATATGTATTCGTGTGTTTTTTTGTGTATGTGAAATGAAATTTAAATGTTTTATTGTTAAAAGATAGAGTTTTGGATATTGTTTTTTTTATTTGTTTTTTTTATTTTTTTTATTTTTTTTTAATGGATAATCAATTAATTATTAGTAGTCTGATTTAATATTAAAATAATGATAAATAAAAATTATAGAGTAGCCACAATAATATTTAATTACTCTTTAATTTATATTTTTTCTTTGGTTTATATTTTATGCTACTAATGTGATAGATTGTTAATATTTAATTAAAACAACAAACAAAATTGATGAATTATTATAAATACCCATATAAATGATAACAAGTTTTGATAGCTGTATGAAAAATATGTATAAGATATTTTGATTTAAATATAATAAAATTATTGATTGTGTTAAATTTAAAGTATTTTTTTTTTTTTT